CAGATTTAATTCTCCTCATTAACTTCACATCATCTGCAAACAGGGACACTTCTGAGTCTAACCCTTCCATCATGTCGTTCACATATACCAAAAATAGCACTGGTCCTAGGACCGACCCCTGTGGGGTCGGTCCCCTGTGTGTGTGTGTGTGTGTGTGTGTGTGTGTGTGTGTGTGTGTGTGTGTGTGTGTGTGTGTGTGTGTGTGTGTGTTTTAAGCTTTCAGTGTTTCCATTATGTGACACGTTATCAGTTATTAATTTCGCTATACCTGGAGTGTACCTGGAGAGAGTTCCGGGGGTCAACGCCCCCGCGGCCCGGTCTTTGACCAGGCCTCATGGTGCATCAGGGTCTGATCAACCAGGCTGTTACTGCTGGTCGCACGTAATCCAACGTACGAACCACAACCCGGCTGGTCAGGTACTGACTTTAGGTGCCTGTCCAGCACCTGCTTCAAGACAGCCAGGAGTCTATTGGTAATCCCCCTGATGTATGCTGGGAGGCAGTTGAACAGTCCTGGGCCCCTGACACTTATTGTGTTGTCTCTTATCGGGCTAGTGGCACCCCTGCTATCCATTTCTTACTCCACGTATCCAGTTGACCTTAATCCTCCAGTAAAATGTTATCCTGATAATGGTCCAGTAGAAGCCGAAATAACTGCTAACGTTCTCTCACCAGAGTGTGGTTTAGTTGCTAGTTATTCCAGCCACGGTACTGTGGGTTGTGAATTGTTCCAGCCACGGCATTGTGGGTTAGATGTGAGTTGTTCCAGCCACGGTATTGTGGGTTAGATGTGAGTTGTTCCAGCCACGGTACTGTGGGTTGTGAATTGTTCCAGCCACGGTATTGTGGGTTGTGAATTGTTCCTATTATGATATTATTCTTCATTTATTGTCGTTTCTTAACTTACAAATAATGTACATAATTGTAATTCATTTGTTTGCTTGTTTTTTTTTCAGGAAACATCAGAACATCACTGCTACAAGGATCATCATTCAACGTTACTTGGCACTTAGCCTACCCTCACAGGGTGAGTTCTTTACTACTACCACTACTAATTATTATTATTATTATTATTATTATTATTATTATTATTATTATTATGATCATTAATGTTCTGTTCCGGCTAATCATGGGCCACCCTGGGTCTAGTAGTAGTAGTAGTAGCAGTAGTGGTAGTATAAGTAGTAGTTTTAGTAGTAGTGGTAGCAGGTGTAATAGTTGTAGACATAGTAATAGTGGTAGTATTAGCAGTAATAGTTGTAGACATAGACTTCCAAATTCTACTTATCACGTTTTTTTCCTTACAGTTACAGAAGTACTGTAGCTGAGAGAGAGAGAGAGAGAGAGAGAGAGAGAGAGAGAGAGAGAGAGAGAGAGAGAGAGAGAGAGAGAGAGAGAGAGAGAGAGAGAGAGAGAGAGAGAGAGAGAGATAAATAGATTGATAGATAGATATGGGGTGAATACCACCCACTGTATGAATGTGGGGTGAGTGTCACCCACAGGATGGGTATAGGTTGATCACTGATCCCCGAATGATTATGGCGTACATAATAAAACTTATCCATTTAATTAACCGTCCTACAGGGTGGGTTTCGACTGGAGTTGTTGGATGCCCAAGAACGACCCCTGACTGACCTCACTCCTGTCACTGCTGATTCTAAGTTCCTTTCTGACGATGCCACGTAAGTATTTACTCAGGATGTTAACTCTGCCCTCCAAGTTATTTTAACCTGTGAACTGCTTCGAAAGTTTTCCTGCACGGCCAGAAGATAGGCCTCCCTATTAATTGCCTGGTCTACTAGGCTGTTGCTATTGGCAGCCTGCTAGCCCACATATCCATCACACCATGGTTGATCTGGTGCACCATGGAGGCTTTTCTGATATCGACTGGTAGTTAGTGACCCACGGATGTTGACAGTGTTCTCTTATTGTTCCCGTGACTTCCCATGCTTTTCACTGGGTCTGCTTTAACTTCTCATACATCTCATTCCAGCAGTTTTGTGGTAGTATGCATGTTTGGTATTAGGCTATCCAGTATCTTCCATGTACATATTACCTGTGGAAAATTGCATTTAGCTGAATGTATCATTATATACATAACAGTAAATGAACACAGATAATTATTATTTATCAGTTAGACAAGTAGGAATTTGGGACACCTAGGTCGCAAAAAATGTCCCCCTTCGATACCTACCACTGTCATATCCACAAGTTGCTCTGGACCTATTAATTATAAATGATTTGTATCACCAGGAATGCTGGTAAACATATAAATTTGTGGACTGTATATTAAAAATAATAAATGATTATAGATACACATATATACATATTTACACAACAGAAGGAGAATATATCTTAATCATAACACTTACCAATTTGACTGGAGATTAATGTGTCATGTACAGGACCCCCCCTTTTGCCTACATTTATGAAGAATTTACTGGCCAGAAATTAAACATAATTTAGACAGCTTATCTGAGGTTCCTGGAGTTGTCCTGTCCTGTCGCCTGATTCTCAAATTATGCAAGAATGCACAGCCAACAATTTTGCCTCCTATTTGAGAGGTGTCAGCCCAATTTTAACCTCTAGAGCACAAAAAATTCTTCCCATTATTCACAGCGTGTTATTCAATTCAAACAAAATGGCGACTCCTCCTGCCCAGGTGCAGAAAATTCCCATTTTCTATGACATAAATTTTTATTGAATACAATATAGGCCATCTATTTACCTATAAATTACCGTATTTTCTGGAAAATATATACAGTATTTTCCACATTACCAGAAAGTAGGTAAGTTTACCTAAGTACAGGTTCACACAAGTACAGTTATCATACCAAGTAACATACATGTAAATTACCTAGGATAATTCAAAAAAAGGCAGACAAAGTGACTTATTTCCATTGAGTTTATCTTCTCTGATGATGCTACATAAATGCTCTCTCTGGAGTCTTGTGTGTTTCAGGAGTGGTTGTTCCCTGCATACTTCACTATTGGCCTCACATTGGTGGTATGGTATATAATGTTGTGAAGGAGTCAGTGATGACTGTCTTTCAATTATTAACTCCAGAATGTTATTAACTTATGATAACCAGGCAGTTTTGCTTATGTTCATTGGAGTCCTTAGTATGTGACTCACGATAGTCAACCAACTCCTTGATATCTGACTACCCCTGGCCCCTGGAGGGAGGTGCCATCATGCCAGCTAAGGAAGTGGAGCTTGCTTCCCCTTCCTTGGGTCAAACCCGAGTGGCTTCCATGTTTCCATAAGACACCTGTTGTCCCTGTCCCTGTCCCTGTCCCTGTCCCTGTCCACCCATCAGTTTAAAATGGGTACCTGGGTGTTAGTTGACTGGTGTGGGTTGCATCCTGGGACAAAACTGACCTAATTTGCCCGAAATGCTCAGCATAACAAGCAGCTTTCTATATAGTAGTATGTCATTGATGTCAGCTAGGCCTGTATACCTTGTACATGTACTTGTAGCAAATAAACATATTATTAATACTTATCTAAATATTTTCACTGTTACAGTGCACAGTCATTCAGGATCACCCTGCCCACTGATTTGGAATGTATAGGGTGCACCATCAGGCTCCTGCGTCAGGCCACAGAATGGGGTGGCAAGTACCAGTTCTGGTCCTGTGCTGATGTTGATATCGTCCAAAGTAAGTCATGTCCAAATAAACTATATGAATATGAAACTTTCTCAGAGTACTATAGTAATTTTTTCCTTTGGTGCTGTTTTTCTGTAGTAAAAATAGAAAGACAGATTCTTTATCCAGTACTGTTCAATATTCTCATGAAACTTCACAATATAATTTACTGATTCACAGAGATTGTTTTAAAGTTAAGGTTACTGTTAATACAGATAAGAAATTAATTATTGTGGCTATAAACTGTTGCAGGTTTTAATCTGTCTTAATTGTAATATAAAATAATGTACTACTGTTCCTGATAGGAAATTGTATTATAAAGTTGCCCATGTATGGTATTCACATTTTACAGTGCCTGTGTGAAATTTTTTTATTTATATTCTTACAGTTCAAAGTCAGTCATAGTAATACTACTTACCTGAAGTATGTACTTGCTCCTCTTAGAAACCTAACAGGCAAAGTTCGTTATGGTATATTTTTATTCTGCAGGAAACAGCTACCGAGAAACTTGCAGTGGCAATGGCAGGTATATGGTTGCTCGGTGCCGGTGCAACAAACGCTTCTTTGGTGATCGATGCCAGTATGAAAATGAGTGTGATAATGATGACGACTGTGGACTATTTGGACGATGTGTGGATTTGGATGCCACTACATACCCGAAGAAAATATGCTATTGCCGACAAGGGCGGTTTGGCCCTAAGTGTACTAAAAGTAGGTTTAAAGAATTAAATAGTGTAAAAAACTGTCATTCTTATATAAGGTACTGCATGTGAAAATCTCTTAGTTTATGATTTTATGAAAAAAAAAAAATTCTAATGTACAGAATATGAAGGGATCACATACAGTCATGTACACTATACTTATTTTACCAAAGTTAAAACCTATATATTTTTTATTTACAGCATCCTTGGTAACAAATCGGGATACCATAAATTTGAAAGTATACTACAAGAAGGATTTGAGTGAGAAGATGACCCTATACTGGAGAATTTTACAAATTGAGGGAGAGATAGAGGTGGTGCTGGTCAACAATGGGTCCTCATATGTTTCTCTGGGCTGGAGGCCTCAAGAACTGACCACAAAATGTAAGCAGTTCCCCTATATATCTGGAACAGTTAGTCCTGGTGCTACTGCTGGTGCAGGTGCCCAAGCTGAACCTGAGCCAGAAAGTGAACCTGAAGCCGAACCTGATGCTACAGCCAAATCCAAAGATAAGGTAAAGCCTGATGGAGCTGCAGCAGAGCCAGAGCCTGAGGCAGATCTACCAGCTGGTGCTAAGTCTGAGGCTGATCCCACTGCTGAACCTGAGCCACAACCCACAGAACCTACTCCTAAATTAAGTCTTGCAGGTAACAAAAATATCTTTACAGTTCTGAGTCTTAGCTGATATAGGCAAAGTATTTTAAAAAGAAATTCCCAGCTCTACAGTTAGTGTGCTAAGATGTATAATTTTCTGGGAATTATTGTGGCTCCTATAATACAGTTTAATTTTTTTAAACAGTATTAGCAAATGAGTTGAAGGACTCCTATCTGAGAGTATTGTAGATTATTTGAATATTTTTTTTGTATGTTCATATCCTGAATATTGATTTAAATTAAGGGTTTATATTTTAGTTAGATATTACAGATTATGGAGTTATTTTTTTTTACTTCTAAACAGGACTTCTTGTTATATAAGGAATGCTTATGAATGTTTGGGTGTTTAACCTGGGGATAAACCTTTATGTGGTTTATTAACATGGAATGCTTACATAATGTGGTCAATGAGTTCAGAAATAGATATTTTGTATTTGCATTGAGAGGTGTAAAAGTGATATGCATTATTTGAAGGCATGCACAGTTTTCTAAAGACTTAGTCCCTCAAATGAGTCTTCCTAGGAATAAATGATCTCAGATAAAGTGATGTTCTTGAGAGTGTACATGTTGTTTGCTGCTCATCTTGTGTAGAAGCACTCTTCTCACGGTTCACAAAGTGGAGCCAAGTGTGGTAGCTTGACAGCATTGGCCTTGTACATAACAATAAGGCCACACAGTGTCAAAGGCTCTCCTGAAATGATAAATGTCTAGGTTAAGTCCAAACGAGTGAGGAGTTGTCTTGCTGTGTTCTCTATTCTCTCAAGAAATTGTAGATGAAATTAAGGCAGGCAATCCAAGAAAGTGAAGCATGCTCAAGGTGTGAGATGCAATGATGACTGGTGTATGGCACCACTGTGAAGATGTGTGATTTCCTATGCCGTTTAACCATTTTGAAAGGGAATTAAATTAAAAAAAAATCTGATTTCTCATTCACATTTTTAATAAATGTTACTGATAGATCAAAAATGCAATTAGAATTTAATATTCTTTAAAAGTGGTTAAACTGCATAATGTGGTATCAACTGCATGTTATTGCTTCACAGCAGGCTTCAGCATTCAAATACTGAGGTGGTAAATATGGAGATAGAAGCAGTTGAGAGGTAAAGATGAGCAGTGTTTTAGTCTGTGAAACTGAACACATCTCCAGGCTGAGGGACTGACCTCTTCAAGCTTCTCTTTCAAGGTTGAGAGACTGATCATATCTTTACCTCACCACTGCTTTTGCTGTCTCCATATTTGCCACTTGTGTATTTGACAGTGAAACAGTTCAAACTAAACCTAACCTAACTGTTGTATGTGTCTTATTTATCAACTTGAGAGTATTTCAAACCATTGTTACACTGTAGATATCATTATTCCTGTGATTGTGTTTCACAACTCCCAAGGAGTGGCTGAGTCCTTAGGTACCAGGCATGTATTGCAATAATTCCTTTCATTGGTGCAGCCAGAGTAATTATGCAGTATTTAAACATTAACTCTCTTGCAACTTTTTGATCACATTTAATGTATTGAATGTTATTGTTATTTTTGGTGATGGTTAATTAACTGTATTGGTAGACATGTATTCATAAAGGGTATTCCTTAAGTGTGAAAATATGATACAGTTTATCATTCATTCATATATCAAGAGGTAGATGTATCAAGAGTATGTAATGTACACTGGTATTTTCAATTTTGTCGGCAACTTTATTGTGAATACCTTCTTCCTCCTTGTCTCTTCTTTCCCATTATTTCCTGTCTCTTCTTCCTCCTCCTTTCTCTTTCTTCTGCTTTCTTTTATTCTCTTCTCTCACTTGTAATGAGATACAATTTGCAAAAATGTTGAGAAAAGGCATGTTGCAATAAATGTTCATTGGGACAACGTTTTGCTCTCCATAGAGCTTTGTCTATAAAAGGTGAAATGTAGTCCCAGTAACAGCTTGTTCTGCAGTATGTCTTTTCTTTACTAGTGTCATCAGTATGTTGTTTTCATCCAGCTGGCAGACATGGGAAAAAGGCTATTTTGTGAGAATTCACATGGTTTCCATTGATCTTACTTAAAGTTTGTGGAGAAAACAAACAAAAATACATCTTTTTAAAACTTCTGTAGAAAGCTTCACAAGCTGTGTACAGTACTGTAGTTTATATGGTAACACGAAACATTCTATATTTTCCCTTTTGTTTAGTCTGATCAATGAACCTACCTCTCTTTGCTTCATTGATTCAGTGTATCCATATTTACAATTTTATCATTGTTTTTTTCCTGTAACGTAATCTCCTCTCGTGACCACCAGGGATTTACTTATGCTGTATTTGAATTCTAATCTAACCCTTATTGAACAGCTCATTTAACTAATTCACATCCATGTTCAAGGCAGCATTAATTAAGGCCGACATTGCAGAAAATTTTTCACCACAGGTTGCCCAGCTTCTTCGTTCATATGAAAAATATATATGGTATAAAATGGAATAACAAATCACTGTGCATCTACTAGTTCTCTGGTACTTTTTTTATTTGTGAATTTTAGTGAAATGATGTGCTATAGATGTGTTAAGAGCGCTAATACTTCTGATTTGTTGAATATCTGGCTCGATTGTTGATGAGAGAATACAGTATTGCAGAAAACAGTAGCTAATTTATTTATACATTCTGTAGCTGCAAAAAAATGAAGTTGAATATTGTATTTTTATATTTAATTACTTGGGGAAGTTATTTGTTGCTAGTTTAGCTGTTGACAAAAAGAATATTTTTCCTGTTACATCTTTTATTGTTTGGAAAGGAGAAAAGTCAGTAGAGTGAATATACATAAAAATCATAAGATGATATACCTTTGATGATGATGCTAAAAGAAACATAATTTATAGCAGGTGGCAAAGACTTGAAATTTAAAATGAAAACTTAAGTCTTTCTCACTTGCTGGATAAACTTTCATGCATATGAGGAATTAAAAATATTAACTTCAAATAAAATGGTGAATCACTGAAAAAACTTCCTCTTGGTGGTGGGATCTTAAAATTAAGATTAGCACTGGTATTGAATAAGGCTAGCACTGGTATTGAATAAGGCTAGCACTGCTATGGAATAAGATTGGCACTGGTATGGGAATGCTAATAATTGCATATGGAATGTGAGCATGATAGCATTTTTAATAGTCCTAGCATCAGCATTCTTGAGAAGATTGTAAAATGTTACCTGCAGTATGTTTACTCCAGCTATGCTAATGGAAGCAGATACATATTTGTCTTGCTACTGCAAAAACACTTCCATCTTTAGTTAACAGTCCTTCACCCTTGTCTTTCATTCACCTCATTCTTTTAGATCATTCATTATTACCGGTAAAAGTGAGACTGCTGATAATTCAGCATGTTCTCACAATGGTTACATATTTTTTTTTTTAACACTGGCTGTTTCCCGCCAAGGCAGGGTGACCCAAAAAGAAAGAAAAAACTTTCATTATCATTCAACACTTTCACCATCACCCATACATAATCACTGTGCTTAGATACAGTGGTGCTTAGATACAACAGTTTAGATATCCCTCCAAACTGCCAATATCCCAAACTCCTCCCTTAAAATGCAGGCATTGTACTTCCCATCTCCAGGACTCAGGTCTGGCTAATTGGTTTCCCTGAATCCCTTAACAAAATATTACCCTGCTCACACTCCAACAGCTATTAACTAACAGTTACAGATATCACGACAAAATAACAAGTCTTACTATTCATTTTCACTCATATCTTCCATTAAAAAGCACACAGCAAAAACCCCCCTGAATAGAGTCCTAGTTACTTCTACCATAATTACAGTTACAATGCTGTACTTTCATAGTAATAAGTAATGCAGCTCAACCTACAAATCTATCACAATTACTGCTGTGGTACAAAAAAAAGTTTCAATACAGGGAGAACCCATTTACGAATGATTCATTTATGACTTTGAACCTATTATTTTAGAGAAAAATGATACATAATGCGACAGATAATTATGTGTCATGCATATTTGTAATGGATATTCCAAAAATGTGCAGTCTTGGTTTCCATGATGTAGAGTGAATTGCCAGTCATGAAACCAATGATCTCTTTCCTAAACACAGATCATTGTAATTAGGCATTTGTAAGTCAATTATACATTGTCTGCATCTGCCATAGTTCCAGTTGAGTAAGCCAAGGCTTACCTCATTTTCAATTGATCCCAATGCAGAACTGTAAAAGAACCATAAGTTCATTCGAAACCATTTGTTCCTATTTATCTTTGCAATATAAAGACTCCATCACCTCTAGTCTTACTTATATAAATCTCCATCACTTTGCAATATAAATCTCCATCATTTCACTACCGATCATATTATACTTCCACACATCTGATCATTATCAGCATAGCAAGCAACATTAACTATAACAACTACTACTACTATAACTGGTATGAAATCAGACACCATCACCACTGCTGTTACTACTACCACTACTACTTCTGCTGCTACCATCACCCCTACTGCTGCTGCTACCACCACCTCCATGGCTCCAACCACTGCTGACATCACTGCCTTGGCCATTGCCACTGCTGCCACCACCACCACTGCTGCTGCCACCACCTCCACTGCTCCAACCATTGGTGCTGTCACCACCTTGGCCATTGCCACTGCTGCCACTACTACCACAGCTGTCACAACGCCCACTGCCGCTAACATTGTCTTCACAACTACAACTACTGAAAAAAATAATCGTCAAACAACTGCAACAGCTATGACTCAAGCACCTGCAACCATCGCCACAACCACGACTCAAGCATCAACAACAACAATCACAACCACAACCACCACTCAAGCGACAACGACCACTCTAGCACCAACTACAACCACCACTCGAGCACCTACGACAACCACAACCACCACTCAAGCACCTACGACAACCACGACCACCACTCGAGCACCTACGACAACCACAACCACCACTCGAGCACCAACGACAACCACAACCACCACTCGAGCACCAACGACAACCACAACCACCACTC